TTGTAAGATGCCTTCACTTGAATTAAGTAAAGTTTGTTTCTTTAATCAAGATTATCTATCTTATACAAATAACACCTCAGCTTTACAAATATATGAAATGTCAAATTAGCCTCGTTTCTTCTAAAATACAACTCAAAACAAGATAATTTCAAGATTGTTTGACTTAACAAGATATTTAAGATGCGGTGTCTTAAAACAAGTCCCTCTATCTTGCTGAAATGTTACCTGTTAGGTGAAATTATCTCAAATCAAGTGGGATGAGACATTTTGACTAAAAACAAGATTAATAAACTTGGTAAGATTTTGAGTTTTTGCAGTGCACCGTCTGTGTTTACGAAATAAGATTAATTCTCCTCCAACTTCTCTCCATCGTCTCTGATCCAGGTGTTTTTGGAGGGAGGGAAGTTCGAGCGTGGCCTGACGGACATCTTTACCGTCGAGATCGCCGCGCTCCTCAGTCCCCTCAGCCGAGTCACCATCGGACACGACAACGGCGGAGTCAGCGCCGGGTGGTACTGCGAGAAGGTACATTGATATGCGCGCTGGCATGCCAACACTACAGTCTGGGCAATTTGCTGTGAATTAGCTCAGCCCAATTGGTGTTTTTTTTTTTCTTTCTCTCGCAGGTCGTGGTGTACTGTCCGTTCACAGGAATAGAACAGACCTTCCCCTGCAGTAAATGGCTGGATGAGAGGGAGGGAGACGGCCTGATAGAGAGAGAGCTCTATGAGATGGTCTCGCTCAGGCAGAGGAGGCAGAAGAGTGAGTTGAATGCCAATAATTATGGCTAGTCAGCAGCGGCGGCGAATGCTGTCATTTCCACTTTTATATCCTGAAACAGAGAGCCGAAGAATTCAAATCTCCATCGTATCTATCATGCATTTGCATAATGACTCAGCAGGCAGTCTATTTTCATTCTACTTTGTATGATTGCTTGTAAAAAAAAAAAAAAATGAAGCCCAGTATCTGGTTTAAAGAGCTGTAAATGGCGAGTTGCAGTTGTTATACACTCTGTTTATTGTCTTCTGGTCCACGAATGTGTACGGCACCATGTGTACGTTGGCTCCATTTTCATTCTGCCCACATAAACTTGTAAAAAAAAACGAGTGTTCCTTCTCTGCCTGGCTACAGTCACAATCACACAAATTCACAGTCGGGAGCTGTCTGCTGCAATCACTTCAATATCATAGCTTCCGGCCTGAGAATATTTTAACAAGCAAAAATGCCATTTCAGGCGTTCCACACCGAAATGTTGAGGAAGTCGAAGTAGCCTCGAACCGCTCGTCACCAGCTACTTCTGCCAAACCCAAGACTTCTGCTGACCTCGAGCTCACTTGTTAAACTCTGTCTGGGCGGTACAGGGGGAAGGGACGAGTCACAGCACATTTACCTCTCAGTCACAGTAATGATGGCGATAATAAGACACCAGTGATCCTATCTGAGATGTAACAAGCCGTGGCAAGCTTCCATAATCAAACATGATTTGATTTGGCTCTCCTCAGAGCACCCCTGGTCCCTGTGGATCTGGACGTCGGACCTGCCCGGCGCGGGAACCGACGCAGACATCTGCTTCCAGGTGTACGGAGACAAGGGCAAGTCAGACGAGATCAGCCTGGACAACAAAACCGACAACTTTGAGCAGGGACAGGTTGACAGGTTTATGGTAAGCGTCCTTTTATTTAGTACCACGTGCAATAATATCAACAAATCAGACGATAAAGCTGTGTGATAAAGTGCTTTTCTCTTGATTTAACTCACAGGTGGAGCTTCCTGATTTGGGAAAAATGACCAAACTCCGTATCTGGCATGAGAAGAGGAATCCTTTTGCAGGATGGCATCTTAGCAAAGTGAGAATTGCTTAAATTTATGCAACTTTTAATCTATTTTTTTTACTTATTCTTAAAAAAAACGACTTGTATTCAGATGTCAATGAAGGGCCGCAAGTATTCAAACACTTAATATTTCAAACTACTCAACTACAGCATATCAAATCCAACCAGCTTCATTTCACTCTCTTCACTCAATCAGGCGACGATAATGAAGACATTAACAAAGGAGAAGTACACGTTTCCTTGTGAGCGGTGGCTGGACACTAACGAAGACGATAACGAGGTTGTGAGGGAGCTTCCCGCCACAGGAGAGCTCGCTGCCGAGCCGCTTCTTTGTGCGTACATGCACCCAAAGTCACCGCAAGCAATTAAAAATCTGCTTTGCCAAACCTAGAGAGGAGTGCAAACGATGATGAAGGATGTTCCTCTGTTCTGCAGTGATCAAATACAGAGTGACAGTGTGCACGGGGACCGTCGGTGGCAGCGGCACGGATGCGTCTGTCTTTTTGAATCTGATTGGAGACCAAGGGGACACCGGAGACCGGGAGCTGGTCAACTGCAAGAACAACGTCAACAAGTTTGAGAAGGGAAACGTGGGTACATTCAGTACATTATGGTAGAAAAGAAGAAAACATCAGACTGCTTTGTCACACAGTGCCTATAAAGAGTATTCCCCGACCCTGGAAGTTTGCTTCAAAAAAAAAACAAAACTCTTTCATGTCAAAGTGAAAATAGATTTCAACAAAGTAAAGTCAGTTAATTAAAACATTTAAATATAGAATAGGTGATTGCATAAGTATTCACCCTCCCTAAAGGGGCTCATCTAATTCAACACAAAGGCCACAATTAGTGATATTATCTGAGTGCAGGGAATGTGTATGAAGTGATTATAGTATAAATACACCCGTATCTAGAAGGTCCAGTCGCTGGTGAATCAGTGCTCCTGGCTATAACTACATGATTAGGATAAAAGAACAATTCAATCAGCTCTGTGTGCGGTTATTGAAAAGTATAAACCAGCGGATCGATAATAAAACCATCATTAAGAAATCAAAAGAATATGAGATGTGTATAAATCTGTCTAGAGTGGTCCATCTTCAAAAACTGAGTGGCCACGCAAGAAAGAGACGAGTGACGGAGGCCACCAAGACACCTGTGACTCCTCTGATGGAGTTACAAGCTAGTATTCACTACTATGCTGATTTGTGATGATATGCAATGTTCACCAAACAAAGCGTCTCATCAGATGCCTAAAAAGCTCCGTTTTGTCCTCCAGTTTACTTCAGACTTTCCCACATGCTTACTGCTGAAGTATAGTTGAGATTTAATACGAGCCGTTTTCAACAGCGGCCTTCTCTTTGCTACTCTCCCATAAAGCTTTGGATGGTGAAGAACAGCCAACAGTTGTTGTAGGCACAGTTTCTCCTCATCTCAGCCACTGAAGCTTGCAACTCCTCCAGAGGAGTCATGGCCGTCTTGGTGGCCTCTCTCATTATTCTCTTTCCTGCACAGTGACTCAGTTTTTTGTAGACTTTGTGCATTTGCATTTGCAACCAAATTATAGTAAAAGGTATTATATTTGTAATCTAGATTAGTGTTTGTCATTCTGTACCTGTAGCATGCTTTTCCTCAAACAAACAATGCTGCATTTTCTGTTGTCTTCACCACCCATTCCTTTTGTTTTGACACGTGGATTTCGTTGCTGTCTTGTTCTCTTTCCAGCTGGATGAGTTCATAATCGAGGCCGTAAATATTGGGCAGGTCCGCAGAGTGAGGATCGGACACAACGGCAAAGGTGGAGGCTGCGGCTGGTTTCTTGACAAAGTGATTGTTAGAGAGGAGGGACAAGCTGAGGCCCACGCTGTGGAGTTTCCCTGCAACAGGTGCATCAGCGTTTATACAGAAACAAACTGAGCACTTCATTAGAAACACTGGACTGATTCTGGGCCTCCCTTTGCTCTGAAACATCAACTCTTGGTGCGCAAGATGTCTTTTGAGATTCCATGTTGACATAATTGCATGTCATAATTTCTGCAGGTTTACCAGCTGCACATTCATCCTGCATATCTGATGGGTTTAGTGTGTAGTCCACTAAACTCATAGTCATGTTTATGAAATGACACTGAGACGGCTTTTGCTCTGTGACTTGGTGCATTACCATGCTGCAAGTAGCCATTAGAGGGCGGATAAATTGTAGCCCTGATAAATGGTCTCCACTTACATAGCACTTTTCTAACGTAATGGTACTCAAAGCACTTTACAGTGTTCCCATTCAACACACATGGACACAACAACAGCGGCAGAGTTGCCATGTGTGGTGCTAAGCTGCTATCTGGACACTGAACGCTGGACTTTGGGTTCAGCGTCTTGTCCAGAGACGCTAGGTGTGTGATTAACAGCCCTCTCTACCACCTGAGCCACCGCAGACAGATGCACATGGTCAGCAACAATACTCAGACAGGCTGTTGCATCTGAGCAATGATTGATTACCATTAAGGGACACAAAGTGTGCCAAGAAAACATTCTCCACGCTATTACACCAGCAGCAGCCAGGACTGCTGACACAAACCGGGTTGGCTCCGTGGATTCTTGCTGTTGGTGCCAAATTCTCAACCTACCATCTGCAGCAACAGCATAAATCAAGATTCACCAGTTTTCTCAGTCTTCACCTGTCCAGTTTTTGTTAACTTGTGCCCACTGCAGCCTTACATTTATGCTATTGGCTGATAGATGTGGTCTCTGCTGTTGTAGCTCATCCGCCTCAACGTTGGCCCTTGTTGTTCAGTCTGAGATGCTTTTGTGCTCTGGTTTTCTGGCCTTTCTGGCCTTTCTGTCAGCTCAAACCATGTCCTTCTTTCTCGTCAACGAGGCTGTTCTGTCCACATAGCTGCTGCTCACTGGATGTTTTTAGTTTTTCTTGTTCAAATCAGAGTAAAATCACAGGAGATGATCGGTTTCAGGAAGGCTCAGACCAGCCCATCTGGCACAAACAAAGACACTGTGATAACATTTTTCTCCAAAATCAGCTCCAGACGTGTATCTGCGGCCTTTTTATGTATCTGCACTGCTGGCGCGTGATTAGCTGATTGGATAATCACATGAATAAGCAGGTGTTCCCAGTAAAGTGCTCCGTGAGTGTACGCGCAATAACTGTTGCAACAGAATGATAAGATGAGGGTTTATTTCCTAAATGTGATGCGCAGGTGGCTGGACCGCAACGAGGATGACGGGCAGATTGTCAGAGAGTTGGTGCCGTTCTCAGAAGGACAGCGTCTTTACAGTAAGTTAGAGCAGACTGGAGTTTTACATTTAAATGTTCTGTTCATGCTTACATTTGTGTCTCTCCGTGTATGTTAGACGTCAACTATCACATCGCAGTGAAGACGGGGAGCATCCCCGGAGGCAGTTCAGACTCCAACGTGTTCGTCAAGCTTTACGGAGAAAAAGGCGACACCAGCAAGATGATGCTGCTGGTCTCTGCCAACAACCTGGGGAACTACTTTGAGACGGGCCGCGTCGACATCTTCACTGTGGAAACCTTTGATATTGGACAGGTTCTCCCGTTTGATGTTGACAGTGCTGTGAAAATCTTTAAACGTCATTTGTCAAAGGCAGACAGTCAAATATGCTGTAGCTCAGTTCAGTCTGGAGTCACCAGTGGTAATAGCATAAGCTGCTGAGGCACTTTGAATGAACCATATGATCAATGTCGGGTTATTACATCTGAACAGTTCAATTACATGTGACTATGATCATCATCAGAGGTCTAGACCAGTGGTTCTCAAACTTTTTGAGCCACTACCCCCAAGATAAGTTTGTGTTCATGACCCCCCGATTTGAATTTTTAGTATCTCATGAGTAATAACTTTGTTGTTCATGCATTAATGCGTTAAAAATTAATTCCTTAATTCCACAGATTAATCTCTTTAAATTAACACGTTGATTTTCTTTTGAATGAATGAATTATTTGAATTTATTTTGAACAAATGAAAGGGAAAAAGAATATAAAAACAAAAGAAAATAATTTTAAACAGAGTAAAATAATATTGCGTAACGAAATCATAATATTAACAAGTTCAAAAAAGGAATGGGAAGAGTATACACTTTAATTTTGACAGCCATAATACAAATTTATTTGATAATTGTAGGCTTTATTACTATTATTATTATTACCATTATTATTTATCCATCCATTTTCTATACACCGCTTAATCCTCATTAGGGTCGCGGGGGGGCTGGAGCCTATCCCAGCCGACTTAGGGCGAAGGCAGGGGACACCCTGGACAAGTCGCAAGTCCATCGCAGGGCCACACTTAGAGACAGACAACCAAGCACACTCACATTCACACCTACGGACAATTTAGAATCACCAATTAACCTCAACATGTTTTTGGACTGTGTGGGAGGAAGCTGGAGAACCCAGAGAGAACCCACGCTGCACGGGGAGAACATGCAAACTCCACGCAGAAAGATTCCGGTGTCCCCACCGGGACGCGAACCGGCAACCTTCTTGCTGCGAGGCAACAGTGCTACCAACTGCGCCACCTTGCAGCCCTATTATTATTTATTTTTATTTTTTTTCAACAATGATCTGGCGACCCCCTGAAAACATCTTGGGACCGCAATGGGGGTCCCAACCCCCAGTTTGAGAACCACTGGTCTAGACAAGACCTTCACTTTGCATTCTGAGTGAATTTGTAGCTGTAAATATGGTTTTCGGCATCTGTTTATAGAAAGCGGCTGAGCTTTCATTAGATTTTAAAGTTAGCATTTAAAGCTGGAGATAAAGTGCATAAATACTTTTGTCTTATTCTTTCTTGTGACTCCTTATTAAATGCCTCTAGAATAGATTTTATTCATCAAATTCTCATAGTGCTGTCTATTAAATCTTATTCCAGATCAACCGTCTGATGATTGGCCACACCAACGAAGGCATGCGCGCCGGCTGGTTCTTGGACAGTGTTCAGATCATGGTTCCGGTTCACGGGAGGCACTACATGTTCCCCAGTCACCGCTGGCTGTGCAAGGACGAGGCCGACGGCAAGACGGAGGTGGAGATTTACCCCAGCGAGACCCTGGACATGGAGCAACGTAGGCAACACTCTCACCATCAGAACAAACTGCATGTACACACACACACACACGCTGTATTTCACAATAAGTTTTTAGAACCTTTCGGTGAACTCAGATCCTGTGTTTCACAATAGGTTTGTAGCTTCAGTTCAGCTCAGATCAAAGAACTTTGTTCATCTGCAGCAGGATAATTGTTTGAAGTGTTTGAAGCAGAGCGCCCACAGATAAACACCAACAGGACAGAATACCAAATAAATAGTTAAAATTCAGGCTTTCTAACAAATTAGCTAAAAATCTAGATGCCATTTTATTCAAATATAGTATAATCTTGCATTTGCCTTTTAATTTAGTCTCAAAACCACCCTGTAACTGATATTTAGAACATCCTATACAGTTTTCTATGCATGTGCACACAAACATATATAACTAGCACTAAGACTGACCATGAATCATTTCTGTGTTCTTTGTTTTTTTGTCATTTTTCCAGTGATAAACTACGAGATAACAGTAGTGACTGGAGATGTGACGTTCGCTGGCACCAACGCCAAAGTGTTCATCCAGATCTACGGAGACAAGGGGAAGACGGAGATCATGACGCTCGAAAGCAGATCCAACAACTACGAGAGAAACACGACAGAAATATTCAAGGTATCATCACGTTTCATGCTTGCAGTGGCTCCAAAAAGCACCTCAGAAGTTCAATCTGAACGCCAAACAAACACAGAGTCAAAACATTGCTCCTCAGATTGAGGCCAAAGATGTGGGGAAGATCTTCAAGATACGCATCGGTCACGACGGCTCCGGGATCGGATCAGGCTGGTTCCTGGACACGGTGGACCTCAAGCATCTGATCATGGCTCTGGTGCCCAAAGAGAAGAAGAAGGAAGACAAGAAAAAGAAGAAGAAAAAGAAGAAAGACGAGGACGATGAGGATGAGGACGGAGGAGAGGAGATGCGAGAAGTGGTGCTGACGTACCATTTTCCCTGTTCGCGCTGGCTGGCCGGCGGGGAGGAGGATGGAGAGCTGGTGGTGGAGCTGCTGCCTGAAGACGCAGAAGAGCTGGAAGGTAAGAAATGAACACAGCCGAGTGTAATGCTGGACTTCAGGGAGAGAGAGAGGAGGTGAGCATTAACTTAAGACTTTCCCTGGCAGTTGAGCAGCCACAGAACTGGCAACGTAACCCAAAACAAAACCTGTCACTGTGTGGATACTGCCAAATGGAAAATGCACCAAATCACTTTGGCTTTTTTTTTAAATATACCACTGACAGGTTCTTATGCACTGATGAATTCAGGAGGGAAGAATATTCATTGTTGCATGGACACACCTTAGCAAAAAATATGCAAAAATACTTTACATTTTCTTGAAAAACCAACATAAGATTGGGGCACGTTATTATTTTCAGCATATTTTTTGATACGTAGCCCTGTGATAGACTGGTGACCTGTCCAAGGATAGACTCCAGCCCCCCACGACCCTAATGAGGAATAAGCAGTGTATAGATAATGGATGGATGGATGGATGGATGGATGGATGGATGGATGGATGGATGGATGATAATGGATGGATGGATAGATAGATGATGGATGGATGGATGGATAGATGGATGGATGGATGATAATGGATGGATGGATGGATAGATGGATGGATATTTTTTTGATGCAACCTATAGCTGGCATTAACTCTACCATTACACTCTTTAGTCACCTCTTCATGTAGTAACTGGCATGCTCGCTGGTCTAGTCCACCATCCCTGCACTGAATTCAAATGCAAAAGGTATTTAGAGGATATGAAGCAAGCAGGTGTTGGATTGAGTGCATGCACATATGAAATCAAGCAGAACTGAAATGATTAGGATTGTAACTTCAAAGCAAGCCCACTTTCTATACGATCCCTCTTCTCCTTTACCGAGCATCAGCAGCATGAACACTGTGCATAACTATGTTTTTATTTTTTTTAACCCGTGTTTCCAGTGAGCATCCCACTGTCTTCATTATTATTATTTTCTCCTGTAAGAACGTCCATTGTCAGCGCTGCCTTTTATCACATCTCTAGTCAATCAAGAAACTAGCTGCAGCTTTATCCTCTGTGATTAAAGCACAGCGACACAAGATGAAAGAAACTTTTTAAAAGGCTGCTTTATTAACTGATGAGTTAATTTAAGTAAATTGTGTTTCAGTGGATGTCTTCAGTACATTCAGTAAATAAGCTTTCTGCCTGAGAGCACTCCTAGTACCACCTCTACCTTTTCTGGTGCTATAGAGAGTTGGCTATTTGCTCCATTTTAAATTATTTTTTAGGACTTTTTTATTTTTTATATCACTGTACTCATTGTTGATGTTGTAGCCGCGCACGGTTTGATTCGACACGGTTTCCTGACCGACATGCGTGACGGGTTAAAGAGGTGTTAGTAATTCATCCCTTGTATTGTCTGACAGTCAACACCTACGAAGTGTGCGTCTTCACCGGTGACATGCTGGGAGCCGGGACCGACGCCAACGTCTTCATTAATATTTATGGCGAGAACGGAGACACCGGAGAGCGCTACCTGAAGAATTCTGACAACCTCAACAAATTCGAGCGTGGGCAGGTATGATGGGTTGAACAAAGACACCACCGGCGACTTTCTAAATCGGCAAGATTAAAGGAGAGATTGAAAAAATGTTACTGGTGAAGTTGGGAAAAAGGCGGGAACATGTTTTTTTTTTTAATATCACACCACTTGACATTCACATTAAGTTTAATCAGGGATGCACATCTTTTCCTGGAAGGGTATCTGGCTGAAAATTAGTCAAAGATTCAGGCACTTCCACGCAACATGAGCCTTGCACCGAGGTGTGGGCGGTGGGAGTGTATTCTGGTAGGATTACAAGCTCTCCTGCAGGCGAGCCAGCTGTGACTGAGTGGAGCTCTGCGGAGTCCTGTGTGTCATTGAACCTGTCCTACTTTTACTCATTACTTTATCCACACCTGTGAATTATTCATCCCTCCTTTACACCTGGCTCTGTGGGAACTCACGACCACAGACAATCGGCTTTTATTTCTAACCCGCAGATCAAAAGCAGCGATAGGTTGTTGTCGTTCGGTGACGTGCGACGCTCATTCAGAAGCTCTGCTTTTGTTTGTGACAGGAATCGGTTAGAAAATTCACTTTAAGTGGCAGAAATAAAATAGAAAATCAAGACGGAAGGTTTATTCTTGACCTTGAAAACAGCTGAAGACAAAAACAATCTTGCTACCTGTTCTGGAGCGTTTCGACAGGTGCCATGGAAAATCTAAGTGAACAAACAAGTTGTGTGATTCAATCAAAAGAACAGTTCCTGAATCAACCTTGTTGTGAGATTGTTTTTGTCATATTTAGATTTCACAACTCAATTCTGCTGCATCTCTGTGGGCCAAGTGGTGCTTTTTACTTCACTCCATCAATGTGACAGCTGGACAAATTCATATTTTTCATGCAAAACACATCATCGAGACATAATACATGATGTACTGCAAAGGATGTAACCAACCAGGTAGCTTCACAACAATGAAACAGCGTAAAAACAGGTTGTTCTGCCAAACAGGTTCTACATTTTTCTCATGCTATGACTGAGTGCTTTTACACTCCGATAATACTACTTGAATCTCTGAACACTTTGTCCGCGACTGGTTGCACACCATCCCACCTTTCTCTCTCATCCTGCGAAAAAAAAAAAAAAAAAAAAAAAAAAAAGTCATGTCTGCAACACCGCAGTATCTCTGGTTTGCTGTGTTTTGCAGGAGGATGTTTTCACCGTGACGGCTATTGATTTGGGCCCTCTGAAGAAGCTACGAATCCGCCACGACAACACTCAGCCCTACTCATCTTGGTACCTGGATCGTGTCGAGATAGTGGACACGAAGGAAGACACCACGTAGGTGAAACCCGTTGCGTGGGTTTTTCTCAGCTGTTCAATTAAAGATGACGAAAGAGCCCACTGTACCCTTTAAAGATTAACGGTTTTGTGTAATTGCACAACGTAACAGCGTGTCATCTTTGAGTCGGAGCTGATACGAGGCCTTTCTTGGCTCTGTAGATACTACTTCCCGTGTAACCGCTGGCTGGCGGTGGATGAGGACGACGGGCAGATAGCGAGGGAGCTGGTTCCCGTGGACGAGGCCTTCATGTGGAAGGAGGACGACGACGGGGAGGGCACCGGAGCCACTCTGGGGCTCGAGCAGAAATGTAGTGCAGTTTCAAAGCCGGCTCATGTTTTAGCAGAGGGATGAGATAAAAGGAGTCCGTGTTTAAGTATTTATCTAAGTGCTGTGAAATATGCAGGTGTAGATGAGAACAAAGAGGGTCTCTTGTATCGGTGTGAAGATGAAAAGGCTTAAAACACTGACTTATTCAATTTATCTTGCAGCCATGTCGACTACATACACCCTTAAAATCAAAACTGGAGAAAAGAAGTACGCTGGAACCGATGCCAACGTCTTTGCCGTTCTCTTCGGTGAAAACGACGACACAGGTGCGATAATTCATCCACGCTGTGTGTTACTGGCTACATGATAATAATCTGAAATTAAAAACCTTCATATCACGTTTTTTTTTAATTTTGAGATTGAATTTCCCTTCTGGGATGAATAAAGTATTTTTCATTTTCATCACCCCTCAGGGATCATCAACCTAAAGGCTTGTAAGAACTATAAGAATAAGTTTGAACAGGGGATGATCAACGAGTTCACCGTGGAGGCCGTGGACTTGGGCGACCTGGAGAAGCTTCGAATCGGGCACGACAACTCAGGTGAGGAGAGGAAAGGCTCTGCAGAAGATAAAATAAGCAGCGCAGTGTAAGAAACTGAACAACATGTTTCCTCGTTTCAGGGGGTTCTTCTGGTTGGTTCTTGGACTGGGTTGAGATTGACGCCCCCTCACAAGGTCAGAGGCTCCGCTTCCCTTGTGGCCGCTGGTTGGATAAAGGAGAGGATGACGGTGCGATTGTGAGGGATCTCTATCCTGCCGAGCTGCAGACCGAGCTCTACATGCCATGTGAGCGAACAGCCGAGCGAGGAGTACTCAAACCCATTAGTGAAAGTAGCAGAGCGTTGATTGAGAAATATCCCTGCAAAAGTGCTTTATGCAAAAAATTTTTTTTTACTCCGATAAAGGAGTGTGGAAGCATTAGCTGTGAAATGTATTCAGAGCACTCTTTCTGGAGAACAGAGCTTGTCAGAGCATCGACTGGGAGGAGTGTTAATAATGTCGATGCGATTTCCTGCCTTTTAGAAAGCATCGCAGCAGGATTTTTTGCTTCTTGACCTACACGTGTAAAAAAAATCACGGATCATCTATGACAGCTGATTTATTTTTGCTTTTAACAGGCGAAAAAATACCAAAACTGATAATATTGCAGGTTGTAATGTGAAGTCTACGTCTGCCTCTCCACTCCCTTTTGTAGCAGGAGTCCATCATCATTTAATCAACTGTAATAAATCTAAAAATGACACAAACAAAATGCAATAACTATAAAGAAATCTGCACATTCCTTTAATATTATGGTATTTGTAGAAAGTGGGCGCCAACATTCTAATTGAACATTACATAACGGTGCACGATTATCCGATTTTATTCCATTATAATGTATTTTGCATTCAAAATCTCCCCAAGTATGACCAATTAAATAAAAAAAATGGGCGAAAAACATACTTGATCTTCAAATGTATTGGTTTCTAACATCCTACAAATGTAGTCCTGCATACAATACCTGATAAAGAGCTCCTAAAGTAACCACAGAATTATATTTTTGACTTAACTTGTGTGCTCAGATTAAAATCTTATGCTCCTACAATGTTTTTGGGACTTCAGGAGCTCCACAAAATGCCCAAACTGCAACTTCTAACTCTTTTCCAGCTCACCAACAAACCATCTCCTCCGTTTTTTCAGTTGTGCCGTATGAGATAAAGATCTACACCAGCGACGTGTTCGGAGCGGGAACCGACGCTGATGTGTTCATAGTCCTGTACGGACGTAAGGGGGTTTGCACACAGCAGAAACACCTGTGTGTCAACAAGAGAGAGCGACGTCTGTACTTTGAGAGAGGAGCTGAGGACATGTTCATTGTGGAGGTGAGAATGTGGACGTGGACTGTATAGAGGCTTTAAAACAGCAGCTGCTGGTCTGTGAACTGTGTGAGTTGTCTTTTCACAGCTGGAGGACATCGGTGATATTATCGAGAAAATCCGGATAGGACACGACAACAGGGGAACCAACCCGGGGTGGCACCTCGACAGGGTGGAGATCAGGCGGCAGCTCAGGAAAGGAAAGGTAGTAAAAAGAAATACACTTGAGATGCATCCATAAGAGTTTCCTTATAAGTCCTCCAATTAAATTATGAATAAATAAGCATCATCCGGCCTACAGAGTCAGATCTACTTTACTTCCATGCTAGACAGACACAGCAGAGCCCAGATTGGGGATTTGTCTGTGTTTTTAATGGCAGGGTTCGGAGACGACTATTTTCCCATGCGAGTGCTGGCTCGCCAAGTCTGAGGACGACGGGGAGACGGTGAGGGAGCTGGTCCCCTCGGACATCATCACAGAGAAGCTCCTCAGGGACGGCACGCTGAAAAGGACTGAAACTGAGGTGGAGGACGCTTTGGAAAGTAGGTTTGACCTGATTTCACTCACGGAATGTAATGAAGTACATTTACTCAAGTACAGTACTTATGGGCAAATCTGGGATAAGTATTTCCATTAAACCATTACCTTGAAGATTAAAATAGTTAAGAGTACTTCAAGGTAACCCAGGCTGGAGCGTCTATCCCAGTAAAACATCACTACACATAATATAATACTCACAGATGCTGTTTTTCTGCATAATGACTACTTAAACTAGTGATATCTGAACCTTGAAGTACACTTTGCTGATAATACAGTACTCCCATTCTTGACTATAATCCAAGTTTTTATAATAATAATGTACAAAATGAGAAAACAGTGTGAAAGGGGTTGTTCATAGTGACTAACCTGCCTGAATCTGCAGCTCCCTTCTGCTTTATGGAGCCTTACACTGAGTTCTCATTGTTTATCTGTCCGGCCTGCAGCTTCACTGTCTGGTTCATTCTCACAGTGCTTATGGCACAGTTTCTGGCCACAGCAGGCAGCTGTTTGCACCGAATAATCTCTGAAAAACCCACTACTGCTCAGCGCTAAATGGCAGACGGACAGTTGGAGACTAGAGGGTGAACATAAAGGAGAGTTTAGCTGCTAAAGACACACATATTTCCCTCGGAAGTTGAAACCAAGTGGCCAAAAACAAAGCTCAGAATGAATGACTCCACAACTGCTGGATGTGTAAATACTTCTTTGAACAATGACATAAGATGGGATAAACTTTATTGAACCACCAGCTAGATACAAATGAGGCATTAAAGAAGCAAGATGGGGAAGTACAAAAAGGCTAAAAACAAAGAAATAATGAAGACTATGTACACCTTTTAAATGTACAGCTGAGGCATAATGAATGTACATATGGATATGTGCAGGTATGGCATGATGGATAATAATAATAATTGATTTTATTGATCAGTTAAGTTCATGCAAAGTGCAGTAAACAGAAACAAAAAATCACATCAGTGTTTAGTGTGACCACCCTTTGCTTTTATAATCAGTTCTCCGAGGTGCACACACCGATTAAACCCACGTGAGCCGTTTTTACAACAGCAGCAGCAACAATAGTTCCCTACCTCATCATAACAGAGTATACACAGCAGACTGATGGTTTCTTACCTTTTCTTTATTGTCGTCTGCAGGGACACACACTCAGTGCTGCGTTCTGTTTTCACGGTCTGACAAACAACCTGTTTTCTAGCTTTTAGTCTTTGTTAGTAAAAGAAAAGGAAAAAAAGGTCGGATGTGGTTTAATAGGGAGGAAAGTCCGACTCTGAGACACTATACTATATGAACACATCCTGTTGGACTAGTTCATTTAAAGCAGGGACATTCCAGATTTGACTGAATCTTGCAGTCCTGTCGACTTTAAATATCTGTGAGCTCACATGTTGTGCATCTGCTGAATTCACAGCTACGTTTTTTTTCTTCCATACAGCTCACACATACACAGTGTCGGTTCGGACGGGTGACATGTACGGAGCAGGAACCGATGCCAACGTTTTCCTCACCATTTACGGAGACCTGGGAGACACAGGACCGCGCAAACTCGCCAAATCTGAGAACAACAAGAACAAGTTTGAGAGAGGAGAGGTACATGGTGGGAGCAGCTGAGTCACATTACTGCTGGTGTCCAAAGGTAGTCAAAATCTCTTCAATTCTGTTTGCTCTCTTAGGTGGACAAGTTCACCATTGAGGCTGTGGACCTGGGGCAGGTGTTTAAGATTCGCATCCGCCATGACAACTCCATGATGGGGGCCGACTGGTACCTGGACCAGGTGGAGGTGCTGGACGTTGAAACGGAGGAGGTGTACATGTTCCTGTGTGAGCGCTGGCTGTCGACGAAGAAGGAGGACAAACGAATAGAAAGGACCTTCTTTGTGAAGGTGTGTTAAAGTTTAGTAAAGAGAATGCCGTATTGCTCTTTGTGTTTGATTCCTGCTGCAGTGACAGCTGTCGGTTCTGTGTCTGCTTTAGGGCTACGAGGGTGAAAGAAGCACCGATCCATATTCTAAGACGATAGCTCAGGCCAAACTAGGACTGGACAGAAACGCCAACAAGAAGAAAAAGAAGAAAAAGGTGGCAGTGGTGGAAGAGGGTCCAAGTAAGGCCACAAAGCTGTACCTCAGGTTTCTGTCAGGGTGGAATATGATGAGATGGGCTTTCACAGACAAACATCAGAGAACCTGTTGAAAATTCCTCAACATTAAAAACATCAGCCATACCAAGACTAAATAAGAACTTTTGGGTGCACAGTTAATTCTACAATTTCAACCGGATCAGACAAAATTAAAGAAACAGGCCAACATTGTGGGAAATGTATGAGAAGATCGATAACACTGTCATGTTATGTACTGAATGTTTGGCAACAGCTGGAGACTGGAAACAGCCTGACTGAAAGTTTAAGAAAACTGCAAATACATCAAAAGCTCTTCATGCTGCTTTTTGTTTTCTTAATCTAAAGGGGGGGGGAAGTGCTTCTTTCTGTTGGATTTTGGTTCTTATAAAGATTTACTACAGGCAAAATCTGCTGGGTCATAAAAATACATGCAGCAACGCTAATATTTGGTCATTTTCACCTCAACTGGGTGGTTTTGGAAGCCGTCCACAGGCTTCTGGTTGGATCTTTGACAACTCCTCTTGACACAATTGGAGCAGTTCACATAAATTTGTCTGCTTTCTTGTTCCTTTATCAATGCCCACAGGTTCTTGATGGGAAACCAGTGGAAAACCTTAATTCTGATCCTATTTAGCCATTTCTCTACCAATTCTGATGTGTTTGGGGTCATGGTCTTGCTGCAACACCCAGCTATGTCCAAGACTCAACTGTCTGGCTGATGATTTTAGGTCTTCCTAAATAGTTCCCTTTATTTTGTGTAAAGCACCAGTTTACTGGCAGCAAAACAACCCCAGAGCATAATACTACCACCACCATGCATGACTATGGGTATAGTGTTCTTGGGGTTAAAGGCCTTATACCCTCTGCTCTAAACATATTTCTGGTAACTGTACCTCAAATATTGTTTCATCTGACCACAGAACGCTCCTCCAGAAAGTCTTATCGTTGTCCAAACTTGTGTCGAGCCTTAATGTGCTGCTTCTAGAGGAAGAGCTTCCTTCTTGCATGGCAGGCTCCAAGTTTTAGAGGTGCTGGTAGGAGGATTAGTTCACTCTCAGACACAGCCAGGCCACCTGTTGCCCCTTATTTCCAGTCTTTATGCTAATTTAAACTAACTGGCTGCCGGCTATGGCTTTAAAATGTACTGTACAGACATAAGAGTGGCATCAGTCCTCAATCCTCAACTAACCATCAGAAAGAAAAGGCATTTCCCAAAATGCCAAAGCATTATTTTAAGAAAAGCCGGGATATTAGTTCCACCTAGATTTGAGCAAGGTCAAAAAGACGCATATAGCCTGGAGACGGATGATATTATTAATGCGAAGAAGTCCGAATAGTCCGAGGAAGCTCAGAGTTTGTCCTAGATTTGAAATTTAAAAAAACATTTATTAACCAATTCTTCTCTCTCACCCAGTCATCCCATATCACTTCACCCTGTCCACGGGGATAGACCGGGATGCCAGCACTACAGCCAGGGTCTACATCATCATCATCGGCCCCGGTGAGCTCGAGACAGACCGACTGTGGCTGGACCATCCGGAGGGGAAGACGTCCTTCGCAGCCGGCGCCATGGAGCACTTTGTGTGCTACGGGACGGACGTAGGAGAGATCAAGCGGGTGGAAGTGAGGATCTGTGGCCAAATCTGTGAAACTGTCTCCGCTCTGCTGCCTCACTCAGACGCGCTGATGTTAAAAATTCAAATAAAGCCATTCTAGCTCAGCAATAATTAATTCTCGCTGTGCCTTCTGGTACCTAGATCAAACAAAATCAAATGATATATCAATTCCCACTTCTACCTTCCCCCTCCCTCCCTCTCTCTCTTTCCTCTCGTGTCTCTTCCTCAGCTTGGCCATAACGGTGTCACACCAGAGAGCTGCTGGTTGGTGGATGAGGTGTCGGTTGCCGTGCCAACCAAAGGTATCAAGTACATCTTTCCATGCAAGTGCTGGCTGGCTAAAGACAGGGGAGATGGTCTGACTGCCAGACTGTTCAATGTGCTGGACTCCAGCACGATCAACATTATCCGCAAAGTGAGTCACCGCACCTAAAATATGATGTCTTGGAAAACATTCAGTTAACGTGTTACATAAAAAAAAAGGAAGAAAAAAAACTGAAATTGTCTCTTCGGCATCAGTGTTATCTGCTGTGTGTTTCAGGTTGTTTATTCAGCCACGGTTGTCACAGGTGACACTCAGTACGCAGGGACCGATACCAACGTTTTCCTGACCGTGTACGGAGCCAACGGGAGCACTGAGGAAATGCTGCTGCCGAAAAATGAGGACAGGTCAGTCTGATCAGTTTCAATAAAGGAAAGAGTGACCAAGTGTAACAGAATCTACCAGCACCACTAAAACTCACTGATTTACATGTTGCATCTCATAAAGCCAAAGTGTTCAATCATCAAATCTCTGTTTATGTGCCGGACTATGTTTTTGGCCCACAGCAGTAATTTCCTTGGCCTGCGCTGCTTGCTCGATGACAAGTCTCCTGAAAATCACTGCTCGCAGCCAGGAAATAGTCTGCCACATAAACCCCCACAAAACGCTTTTACACTTTGGTTTTCGTACAGATTAAATAAACAAGATATAATGTGTTAATCAGCGCCGTTACCTCTGGGCCGAGCTAGGCTAGCTGCTTTGTTGTTTTCTCGCCCAAAGCCGCGCCGCGCCAACCAGCTGCTGACTCCGGCTACATGTTTAATGTAAAGCCATGAAAGTATTCTGTTAGAAAGCTGTCGTGCTTGTTTTTAATAAAGGTCAAACTGTTTTGTTAGAATACCCGACCCGTGTCCAAATGCTTTGAAATGCAAATTTGGTACATATACATATCGCTCCATCCAGATTTGAAAGAGGCCAAGAAGACACATTCAGCCTGGAGATAGATGACATTGCTCCTTTGAAGAAGATCAGAGTTCGGATTGATGGCAGCGGGAGCCGCCCAGACTGGTTTCTTGACAGGGTAACATTAAGACTGCAAGGGTTTCTGTCTATGGGTCTCTGGTATCAGAATGCAGTATGTAATAAAGAATGACAAACATCAGCTGCACAGTGGCAGCAAAAGCAGAAATCAGGTCACAGACTTTGGTGCAGCTGATGTTTGCATAGCGTGCATCATTACAATACAGCTGTGAACTAAAGTTCTTCTTCGGCTGACAGATTCTGATGCACCATCAAACAGTTTTAATTAGCCAGTGGGAAAAAAGAAAAAAAACTAAAAAGGTCACCAGCATATCTCCAATTATTTGTCCAATTTACCGCTGCGGAGTGCAGAGAGCAACCGCATTGTTTTATCTGATTCTTTTCAAGTACAAACAATTTGTGTTCATACTTTGTACACTTGCATCTCGTTTAATACGATGTAGGCCACAAATACAAACTGCTTTTTAAATTCATTTGAAAATTGCTATTTAAAGGAATGTTGCAGTAGCATATTTTTCATAATTTACTCAACCCGCATGACTCACGTAGTGATTCACGATTTATGTTAAATCTTATGACTAAACGACACGGAGCTTCTTTCCGATTCAGACCTTTTGTCTTGTCGTGGCCGCGTTGTAAACGGCGTGAAAAATGCTCTTAGATCCTGATGCGGAACCTCACCACAGACGAAGTGTACGAGTTCACCTACGAGAACTGGCTGTCCAAGACCAAAGGGCCGAGGAGGGTGAAGGTGTGTGAGCTGGCGGCGGTGGTGGACGAGGAGGAGATGGTGGAAAAAACGACCTACATCATCCAAGTCCAGACCAGTGATGTCGGAGGTGAGTCACATTAGTTTTCTACAGTAGATTCAAGACGTGTGTTTGAAAGTTTGTATAAATTTGGATAAGCCAGCCAACATTTATAGCTTCTCACCCCTTCAAATAAAGGTGTAATTCACAAAAAGGATTAAGGATGTTGACTCAGATTTGTCTCTGAAAGCGTAATGAATTTTGCTTGTTGGCCTCTTTGAGCATTTTACAAACACTAACTCAGACAATAGGGAGTTTAATTTGAACAAGCATACTGCTATAAATGGATTGATTGGTATCAGAGTCGATGGTGCTCATCTATATGACATTCCAGCTGCTGGCACCGACGCCAACGTGTTTCTGATGGTATTTGGGGAGTATGGAGACACTGGGACGCTGCCTCTGAAGGAGAGCGCCAACAGGAACAAGTTTGAGCGAAAAGCGAAAGACGTGTTCAGATTTCCTGACATCCTCAGTCTGGGCGAGCTGTCCAAAGTCAGAGTGTGGCATGACAACAAAGGTGAGCAGGAGAGGAGCATAACTAGACCGAAAAATCAGAAAAACTACTTTCATTCATTCATTGACTTATTTTAACATCTTTATGGGTTGTTTGTTTCTTTACATGTCCGAGACCAACTAGTTGCATTTATTACTAATGTTGCTGCTTATTTAGCCAAATAGTTTCTGATGAATTTGATGATGGACAAACTGCTTGAGAACATGTCTGTGAAGATTCTCAGTCCTCCAGGTCATGGTTATTCTGGTAGATTAATCGTAGCAACTGGACTTGCTTGAGTTCCTTGAAGATGTTCCACCTCTCATCCATCAGTTCTGACTGACTAGTTGGGAGTTCCAGATACTTATATCCTACAGGAGCCATTAACACCTGAGTGTTGCTACGATTAATATACCAGAATAACTGCTTGAGAAAGTTTTTAAGTAGATAAAACTACTGCGGTCTTTGTTGTTGTAAACAGGCCCTGCTCCTGGCTGGCACCTGGAGTACATCGATGTCAAAGATGAGGCCATGGACCAGACCTTCAGGTTCCCCTGCGACCGCTGGTTGGCTAAAAACGAAGACGACGGGCAGATTATGAGGGAGCTGGCTTGTGCCAACAATGACTCTGTCGACCTCAGTGACAAAACCAGTTAGTAAAAATGGAAGACATAATTACAAGCTCTGTAAATGTCGGAGACGAACAACTTGCAGCTAATTACAACCATTTGCCAGATGTGAAATGATTACAGTGCAGCGATCTCTCTCTCTCTGCGTTCCCACAGAATATGAAATTGCCACAACAACTGCGAACACAGACGACGCCTCCACCGTGGAAAACGCCTGGATCGTGCTGGAAGGAAGGAAATCCCGATCCAAAGAGTTTGTTCTGGAGAATAAGAAGAAGAAGTTCTTATGGTAGGTCTTCAAAGAGAGTCCAGGGACCTCAGCTCTTGGTGAAAACCCTATTATGTGGCCTTACATAATCTCCCCTCTTTCACATGTTTTGTTTTTCTACCCTCTTTTATCTTGTAGCTTCACTTTCTGTTCTCAAAGTCTCTGTTCTCGGGAGAGATAATCCCATGAGGCGCGCTAAAGTAAAACTCTCAGGCAGACCACTGAATTTAACTGCTCAGAATCAAACCCTGCATAAACTCTGCCTGTAGCTGAAACTTTTTAAAACATTTTTTTTTTTTTGCTCACCCCTTCACAGCGGTGCCACTGACACGTTTGAGTTCTCGTCCAAGCACGTGGGGGAAATCGCTGGCATCTGTCTCGGCCACATCACCAAAGACGGCAAGAAGGTGAAGAATGAAGCGTCCTGGCACGTCATGGAGGTGGTGGTGACGGAAAAGGAGCTGGGAAACAAGTGAGTGGGGTCTCACCCGGCCTACATCGTGTTATATAAGGTGTCACGTTGATGATGATGTTGACTCTAAACCTCTTGTTCAGGTATTTCTTCCACTGTGATGCACAAATCCCCCTGGCGGCCAAAAAGGACCAGTTCCTGACATTCGAGTGCTACAAGTCCATCGAGAGCTTCGCCAGCAAAGTCCGCAACCTGGTCCCCGTCAAGTACGAAATCATTGTCATCACCGGGGACGTCAAAGGGGGCGGCACGGACGCCAACGTCTTCATCACCGTCTACGGCGTCAACGGCGACTCGGGGAAACGTCAGCTGCGGCAGAAGTTCCGCAACCTTTTCGAGCGAGGGCAGACGGACCGCTTCGTCCTGGAGATGCTGGACCTCGGGGAGCTGCTGAGGGTCAAAGTGGAGCACGACGGCAGCAGCAGCAGCTGTGGGTGGTATCTGGAGTGCGTGGAGGTGACCAACACAGCCAACTCAGTCACAACCATCTTCCAGTGTGGAAAATGGCTGGACGCGCGTAAAGCCGACGGGCAGATCCAGAGAGTGCTTTACCCCAAATACTGAAGGGAAGACGCCGGAAACGAATAGCGGGTGAGCGTTTCCATACCAGTGAGGGAAAAGTTGGATTTAACAGACTTGAATGTAACGTTTAAGGGATAAAACCAGTATTCTTTTTTTAAAGTTTGTGCCAACTCTTTCCACTGCCCCTCCTCAAACCTCAGAAAAAAGCCATTTGTTACCATCTTGTCTTGTAAAATTTGACAAATAAACACATCTGGTTATGATGACAACACACAATAAACAATCAGTTTTAATTATCCTCTTTGTTTCGACTTTTTGATCAAAGGAAATGGATCATGAACGTCTTTCACAACCAAGTGCCAATCATTTGAGACTTACAGGTGGGAAACAAAGACGGAAAAATAGTCCAGCAGAAACCCCATCACCTTGTTTGAATTACAGCAGATCCATCCCCGCGCTCTGACTCAAAAGAGGCTTCGGGCGTCTGGAGTTGGAAAAGCAACAAATAAACGAGACTCACAACAATCATACTAAAAACAGGATTTCTGAGTGGGCCGCTGATGAACCGTGTTCTCCCACAATGCAATGCACAAGGGAAATGACAGCTGCAGAAAAAGAAAACTAATTGTGGATGGTGTTGAAACAGCATCAGCAGCACCGCAGCGAAATAAAGATTACTGTTTTGGGGGAGAAAATATGTTAATGTCTCTGTGAAGTTGAACCACCACTGGGGTAATACTGAATAATTTCCTGTCAGTATAAATTTGTTGATTTATTTATATATTATATGTTCCATTTAGTACAGACTATGGAATAATTATGTAGTGCTGCTGCATTTGGATGCAACTTTTCTCATTCATGTTTTTTTTACTTTAGTTTGCTGCATTTGCAGTTTAGTTTAAGCAACATTTGAACAAGAAGTGTTTCTGTTTAAAACAAGCAGAAAATGGGCTTTAATGAAACTTTAGCAGAAAACAGTAGTTTTAACAGAAATGTCATCCATCCATCCAT